CATCGTGATGGTTTGTTCCTGCAACCCAATGCTACAGCCCCCTCCCAGCTGCAGCCCACCTGGTGCCTCAGCACTGTGAGCCCCATCACAGCCACGCCTTACCCGGTCTGCCATTCCAGTGCTATGAGTGCCCTCAAAGCTCTTCCCAGCCTGGCACTGAGATCCCCTCACAGCTGCTTCTTCCCTCACAGCCCTGCTCTGCCCTGGGCCCTAGCACTACAGCCCCCTCACAGCCTGGGCTGGCCCAGTGCTACAAGCTCCCTCGGAGCCCGGCCCCTTCCAGGCCCCCATTCCTAGGAGTTTCCACACTGGTGTGCCCCACCCGTGCAGATACGACCATCTAGATGAGAGGTTTTCTACTCCTAACCTGCTTCTGCAACTCAGCAAGTCGCCTACGGAGAGTCCGGGCCTCCTCCTGGGAAGAAAATGCAAAGAGAAGGCCTTTAGTCCTCAGTCTGCTTGGGGCAGGACTAGACCAGAGTAGGCGGGACTCTGCCAGGGTCACATGCTCAGGCTCCCCTCCCTGTTCTTACCTGTCCTGAAGTTGATGCCTTATTCTGCCCAGAGTCAGACATAGGAAGTCCACAGGCATCTGGCAGTGAGAGGCCAGCACGGTCCCTCTTCAGCCTCCTCCGCTCATGCTCCACCTGCACACAGGACACAGAGAAAGGGTCACAGCAGTCTGCCAGGGAGCGAGGAGCTAATAACCTGGGGTATCAGGTGGGCAGAGAAGGTTCTCCACTCAGAGGCACTTACCTCCAGGTGATGGCGGGGGAAGGAAGTGGGACAGAAAGGGCTTCACCCTGGAGCAATACCAGCTGATGCTGGAGTGTGTGTGGGTACAATGGGCAGGCAGTGCTGGAGTGCGTGGGGGTGGGCGGGAAGTGCTGGAGGACATGGGCAAGCGGTGCTGGAGTGCTGGGGGGCGGGTGGTACTGGTGGGCATGGTCGGGCAGTGCTGGAGCACGAGACTGCAGTGCTGGAGGGAGGGCGTGGGCAGTGTTGGAGGGCGTGGGCAGGTGGTGCTGGAGCGCTAGGGGGCGGGAGGTGCCAGAAGGCGTGGGCACGGGTGGGTGGTGCTGGTGGGCGTGGCCGAGCAGTGCTGGAGCACGTGAGAGTGCAGTGCTGGAGGGCCTGGGCAGTGCTGGAGGATGTGGGCAGGTGGTGCTGGAACGCTGGGGAGTGGGCAGTGCTGGAGGGCGTGGGCACGGGTGGGCGGTGCTGATGGGCGTGGACGGGCAGTGCTGGAGCACATGAGAGTGCAGTGCTGGAGGGCGTGGGCAGGCGGTAATGGAGTGCTGGGGAGTGGGCAGTGCTGGAGGGCGTGGGCACGGGTGGGCGGTGCTGATGGGCGTGGACGGACAGTGCTGGAGCACATGAGAGTGCAGTGCTGGAGGGCGTGGGCAGGCGGTAATGGAGTGCTGGGGAGTGGGCGGTGCCGGAGGCGGTGGGGACGGGTGGGCGGTGCTGGTGGGCGTGGCTAGGCAGTGCTGGAGCACATGAGAATGCAGTGCTGGAGGGGGTGGGCAGGCGGTGATGGAGCGCTGGGGAGTGGGCGGTGGCCGGAGGGCATGGGCACGGCTGGTGAGGGCGGACAGGCAGTGCTGGAGCGTGCGGGGGTGGGCAGGCGGTGGTGGAGCACATGGGGCTGATGTCATCCCAGAGTGCCAAAGGGAGCTGGGGAGGCGCTAGGAATCTGGCTCACCTGCTCCAGAGTCCTCCTGAGTTGGGCATTGAGCTGCTGCAGCTCAGTTTTGTCATGTTCCAGCCTTGCGACAGCTCGCTGCAGATGTTCCAGCCGCTGCTGCAGGAGTCTCCTCTCTGCCGCTGCTGCCAGCTGCTCCTCTTCCTCTCCCACGGCCTGGAGGGTGTAGAGAGCAGAGTCTTGGCGAGCCTGTGCCAGATGGATATGTGCCCCAGATGCTCAGAGTGGGGAATCTGTACAAAGCTGGCTAGAGAGGCCTACAAAGAAGCACACTGTGCCCGATGGGGAGCGCTCATCAGTCGCTCCCTCTGCTCCCAAAGCATAGGCACCAGCACCCCTCAGGGACCACTCTCCAGCACAGCCACAGGGCAGAATTAATCCAGGCCAGATACACACTTCTTACTTCTCCTCTCCCATGTGTACAGAGGCCCTGCCCACTCTCCCCTCCCTCACCTGCTGTTTCCCTGCTCTCTCCTCTTTAAGCAGCAGAGCCGCATCTCCATTCAGAGCCTTGTTTGGAACGCTCTCCTCTAGGTCTCTGAGAGCTGAAGCAAGCTGCTCCTGTAGGAGTGACAAACAGCACAGATCATCCTCTGGAAGTCAGGGTTGCAGTGCCCCCTGCTGGAGAGGGCACTCACTGCTGTTCCCAGTGAGGCAGACATATCTTGCTCGCTGCAGGCCTCTGCCCCTGACCATGGAGGAGACTGAGTCCACAGAGGAGCTGGTGGGACTGCTAGTGGCTGAATACCCCAATGAGGCAGAGGACCCCAGGACAACAGAGCCCCAGTCCAAACTGTATTAGGAAGTAGCCCAGGGAAGCCAGAGTTTAGTCTGGTTATTGCTGTCAGTGCTGGCGTCAGCATGTTTCAGCTGGATCCAGACTGACCCAGTGGCAGAACACGCCGTCACTGTTAGGGCCCTAGGCTGGGACCTGGTGGAGTAGTGTGGGCCTGGGTCCTCCTACCCCCTGCTGCCAAACCCATCCCTGGGGTGGCTGTCTCTCCACTTCAGGCTGAACAGCCTGTGTTTGCCTGTTAGCTCTGTCCTGCCTAGGCCCCAGACTGTTTGGTGCTCTGCCCTGCCAAGAGGGTCTAGGCACTAGCACCTGATTCACCTGATATTAGGCAGTGACCCCAGTGATGTAGTGTGGCCTCCCTCTGACCCAGAGAGGGAGAGATGACTGCCACCACACTACGTGGACTTACTGGCTACCTTGCACCGCAGTTAGTCAGGGAGCAGCCCAGCAGGTGGTCCTAGGTGGTCTGATCCTTGACAGCAGAGCCACGAAGGTCTGTTAGTCCTGAACGTGAAGGGTCATAGCCAGTGAGGTACACCCTTCATCCCAATGGATCTCAGTGCCATTGCTGTGCAGTGGGCCAGCACTGTGTGTATTGCCAGCCACTCATAGCCACCTCCACCACCTCAGTCTCTGTGGAGTCTGGACATACTTTTTCTGGTACTTCCATTGAGACTGGGCAGCAGCTTGAGGGGGTATGCTACACAGTCTCCACCAGCCAGCCCACAGCAAGGAGCAAAGGTGCTGCATCCCTATTGACAGGATTTCCTAGCCCAAGTGATTCCTAATTCATGGACTGGTTTCAGCTCTGATTCTGCTGTCTGCACCAGCTTTTACAAACACATGGGTAAGGTAAGATCCTCCCATCAGCTTGCTGTCCTCCACAGTAGATATGGCATCACCCGGCTCCTCTTCGCACTGACCTCAGCCAGCCCCCACCCTAACTGTCTAGATCATGAAGTGAAGACAGAGCCTCTCAAAGCACTGACACTGGCTGCACTGCAGCCACCAGCAAGGTGTCGGGGGGAGCCAGCACTGAAGCCAGAGTTTTCTGTGCCAGGAGCACCACATATCAGAGCTCAGCACAAAGAATGCTGCAAGGCACAAGAGCACCTACCCTGAGGAGAGAGAGCGAGAAGGCAGTCCTGAAAGCAGGACTCTCAGAGCACCAGGAGTGACTGGGCCAAGCATATACTGCTACCCAGAATTACCCCACAAATGCAGAAGGGGCGACTCCAGCAATGGAGCTGCCTATGGCAAGGCCATGTTGGGATGCAGCTGCTTCTCTTTTGGCACCTCTTGCCTTATCATTTTAGGCAGAGGTTCTGCCTCATTGCCTCTATATAAATCCATGGTACGCCCACATCTTGAATACTGTATGCAGATGTGCCCCCCCCCCCTAAAAAAAGATATATTGGAATTGAAAAAGGTTCAGAAAAGGGCAACAAAAATGATTAGGGGTATGGAACAGCTTCGGTATGAGGAGAGATCAATAAGACTGGGACTTTTCAGCTTGGTAAAGAGATGGCTAAGGGGCGATATGATAGAGGTCTATAAAATCATGACTGGTGTGGAGAAAGTAGATAAGGAAGTGTTATTTACTCCTTCTCAAAACACAAGAACTAGGGGTCACTAAATGAAATTAATAGGCAGCAGGTTTAAAACAAACAAAAGGAAGTATTTGTTTACCCAACACACAGTCAGCCTGTGGAACTCTTTGCCAGAAGATGTTGTGAAGGCCAAGACTATAACAGGGTTCAAAAAGGAACTAAATAAATGCATGGAGGATAGGTCTATCAATGGCTATTAGCCAGGATGGGTTGGGATGGTGTCCCTAGCCTCTGTTTGCCAGAAGCTGGGAATGGGTGACAGGGGATGGATCACTTGATGATCACCTGTTCCGTTCATTCCCTCTGGGGCACCTGGCATAGGCCACTGTTGGAAGACAGGATACTGGGCTAGATGGACCTTTGGTCTGACCTAATATGGCTGTTCTTATGTTCTCATTGAGTGGACTGGAGGTCACTGGAGCACACTGATTGCAAGTATTGAGGCCCCAACTGTGCCCCTGAGAACATCTGAATGCCAGCCGGTGCTGGGTTCGCTGTTCTACAACAGCAACTCCTGTCAGACCTGACAAACTCACAATGCTTTCATAGTATTACCAAACAGGGTCATGTCAAGTCCCTAATAAAAGCTTATGTCATACTGATCCTCATAATCTTTGTGAGATATATGTACAAATGACATTTAAGGAGTTGTAAAGATGTACAGGAAAATATGTTTTAAAGTCTGAATCAAAGCAGGGTTGACATGCAGGTTTTCACCAGACACAGGATGTATATTCACCAGTCTGCCTTGGTTCACATGTAAAACAAGCATTATAAGCCAACATAATGGAAACCTATTTGCATATGACATCAACATCAGGATGTGAAGACAACATGGAGCCAGCACATCAGAGAGGGGGTAAGGAGGTTGTCCTGACTCTGGGGACAAAACAATGAGTTTTGGAGAATATAAGGAGGAGAAGAAAAGACATTTTGTTATCCTTCACTGAGGAAGAAAAAAGGACAATGCTTTTTACATTCATGAAAAATGATTCCCAACCTCCTGGCTGGACATGTTGGGAGATTGCTTTAGGTGAGATAAAACTACTTTAGACAAGGGCTTAGCCTGTTAAATTTAATCTCTAGGAAGGGTTTTATACTTTTGTTTTATATGTAACCTTACTCACTATCTCTGAAATCTTAGCATGTGATAATAAACTTATGGGTGTTCTCACTATAAATATATCTCAGTTCTGTGATGATATCAAAGACCTGAACCTGAGTTGTACCAGTCATGTGTTGTGTATACTATTCCTTTGGGGAGAGCAACCCTCATAATTCCTGTGAGTGTCCAGTGACAGGGACTGGATACTACAGGAGGATGCTTTCCGAGGGGCTCGGAGATTGGGGGTGAACCTACTGTTAACCTGCAAAGCAGAGTGAATGCTAGCAGAGCCCTGAGTATATTGGGTGGTTAGCAAACTGGTGGTGTCAGGGAGCACAGTTAAGCATCAGCAAGTCTCTCTCTCATTAGAGGCAGGAGGATAACAAGGTGACTCAGTCCTGGGCACTCCAAGAAGAGTCACGTGAACTATATCAAAGAGCTGACATTTGGGGTCTCTGGCCTTCATGGTGATGGTGCAGGATGTATCAGTGGTGAAGCCATCTGACTGGGCTTAGTGAATGGGGCTAGGTCTGCACTGCCAGAGCTCTCATCTAGTATGGCATTTAGTGGTTTTGGCTGATCCAAGCTTCTGTTTTGAGGCTTTGTTCTTTAGGAAACTCTGGGCTGCTCTTGTGCCAGACTTAAGGATTTCTTGGAGTACCTCCAGGAGGGTTATGAAATCCTCTCCACATCTTCAGTGCTAAAGGCAATATCTGCTCTGAGGCAGATGGAATGGTTCTGCTGCACTGAATCAAAACTGGGGGGCAGAGAATGAACAATGTACCAACTGCTAAAAGTTTATAGTGCTGAGAATACAGAGCAGGTGCACATGCACCAGGAGGCCCAGGAAACACAGAGCAATAGGTTTCCTAGCCCAGGAGACTGGGAAGGTATGGGTCTATCTAATTGTGACAAAGTGGAAATTTCTCCTAGTGCTTTGGATGAGAATCATGTGTGCCACAGTTTCCACTATTTGCTGCATGTGTACCCAGACGGTGGGGGAAGGGTGATTACTTTTTGCAGAGACCCAGAAATCCAGGTGTGACTGTCGCCTAGCTGCCTAGGCCGCACACCCATGGAGAACCCAGAAGACAATGACCCGGACATCTGGCTGCCTAGCAACTAATGATCCTGGACTGCCAATCCACCCCCCACTACTAGTTGTCATGGTACCACAGGCCCAGTGCTCTTTCCCTTGGCTCCGTACAGTTCCTGGGAGGAACCCCCTTTAGTGTGTCAGTCCTCTTCGAGGGTTGCACTCTCTCTGTGGGGCTAAGCCCTTTAAGCCTCCATCACCTCCTGGGACCACACCTCTGAGCCTTCAGCACGCCTGCCTCACTCCGTGAGGTCCCCCCCAGCGAGTCCACTCGCACTGGACCCCTGAAGGGAGACTTGCACACCCAAAGGAAGCAATGCATCCCCAACCTCTTTAGACTGGAGTGACTCTCAGACAGCACTGTAAAACAGAAGATTTGTTAAATGTCTGTAATACAGCGTAGAAAGCCTTTAGGTGAGCATAGAGAATGGGAAGCTACAGCCAAATCCATCTGAATCTGACCGGAGCCCAGGGCTCCCTCTCACTGCCCCCAGTTCAGCAGCGTTCCTGCTTCTTGCAGACCACACTTAACTCATTCAACCTGCTCCTTCTCCCTCCTTTGTCCCTCTTCACGGGCAAACAACTCTTGGTTCTCAGTTGGTCCAAAGTGGCTGGTTTCCTCCAGAGGGGAGGGGGCTGGCAGTCCGTGGTTAGTAGTTGCTAGACAACCAGATGTGTGACAGCTAAACCTGCCTGGACATGGCAGAGCTGACCAGCTGAAAGCACCCACACCCGTCACTGTGGAGCTCTGTTTAGTTTTAATAGTGAGGGTGATCATTTACCACTGGAAAGATTACCAAGGGACGTAGTGGATTCTCCATCACTTGAAGTGTTTACACTGAAATGGGAGGTCACTTTTTAAAAGTTTCCCTCTAGCTCAGCCAGAATCTACAGGTTCAATGCAGAAAACACTGGATGAGGTTCTCTGGCCTGTGCTATGCAGGAGGTCACACTAGATGAGTCAGCAGTGTGCCCTTGTTGCCAAGAAAGCTAACAGCATTCTGGGCTGTATAAGTAGGAGCATTGCCAGCAGATCAAGGGACGTGATCATTCCCCTCTATTTGGCACTGGTGAGGCCTCATCCGGAGTCCTGTGTCCAGTTTTGGGCCCCACACTACAAGGATGTGGAAAAATTGGAACGAGTCAAGCGGAGGGCAACAAAAATGATTAGGGGGCCAGGGCACATGACTTATGAGGAGAGGCTGAGGAAACTGGGATTATTTAGTCTGCAGAAAAGAAAAATGAGGGGGAATTTGATAGCTGCTTTCAACTACCTGAAGGGGGGTTCCAAAGAGGATGGATCTAGACTGTTCTTAGTGGTAGCAGACGACAGAACAAGGAGTAATGGTCTCAAGTTGCAGTAGAGGAAGCTGAGGTTGGATATTAGGAAAAACTTTTTCACTAGGAGGGTGGTGAAGCACGGAATGAGTTACCTAGGGAGGTGGTGGAATCTCCTTCCTTAGAGGTCTTTAAGGTCAGGCTTGACAAAGCCCTAGCTGGGATGATTTAGTTGGGGATTGGTCCTGCTTTGAGCAGGGGGTTGGACTAGATGACTCTCTGAGGTCCCTTCCAACCCTGATATTCCATCTCCGGTGGCACAGCAGGGCTGCTGCTAAGACAGGCTCCCTGCCTGCCCCACCCCCAAGCTGCTCCTTCCGCGTACTGCTCCTGCCGGCAAGCACTGCTCCCGCAGCTCCCATTGGCCGGGAACAGGGAGCTGTGGCCAATGGGAGCTGAGGGGGCAGTGCTTGCAAAGAGGGGCAGCGCGTGGAGTGCTTGCAAAGGGTAGGCAGGGAGCCTGCCTTAGCGGTAAGTGCAGCCCAGCAGGAGGTCGCACCCCAAACCTCAGCAATGAGCCCCCTCCCAGAGCCAGCACCCCCACCCCCTCCTGCACCCCAACACTCTGCCCCAGACCAGATCCCCCTCGTGCACCCAGGCCCCAGGCTCAGCCCAGAGCCCCCTCCCACACTGCAAACCCCTCGGTTCCAGCCCAGAGCCCGCACCCCCGCCTGAACCCCAACCCTCTACCCCAGCCCAGTGGAAGTGAGTGAGGGTGGGGAAGAGCGAGTGACCAGGGTGGGGGGAGGAATGGAGTGAGTGGGGCAGGGCTTTGGGGGAAGGGGTGGGAAAGATCCTTGGTTGCCCTTAAATTCAAAAACTGATCTTGGGCGTAAAAAGGTTGTAGCCCACTGGACTAGATGATCATAATGGTTCCTTCTGGACTGAACATCTATGAATCTAAACAAAGTGCCATTGGATTCCTAAGACAGAAATAGACAGGCATCCTTTTCATGCAAGTCACCCCACAAACTGCCTACCTGAAGATGAAGCCGATCCTTATCCCGCTCTGATACCATGCACTGTAGGACAGCCATTTCCTCCCTCAGGGTCCTACTGGCTGCTTGGCTCTGGGCCAGGGACAAAGCCAAGGCCTGTGCTTTCTCCCTCCATTCTATCTCCACACTCTCAGTCTGCTTCAGAACAGCCATCATGTGCTCCAGTTCCTGATCCTTCACTTTTTTCTCCTCTTCCAGCTGTTGGATCCACACCTTCTGCCTTTCCAACTGCTGGTCTCTCTCCTGGAGAACCTTCCTCTTGGCTGCCTCCTCTGTCTCCCATCTCAGGAGTTTCTGGATTTGGCTCTTTAGAGTCTCCCCTTCACCAGCTCTCCTTTGCAGAGCTGAGGTGAGCTGCTTCAGGAGCTCACCCTGTGTCCTCAGCTCCTGCTCTCTCCCTCTCAGAGTCTCCTCCAGGCCCCTGACTCGCTCTCTCTGGTGTTTTATCTCCTCATCCTTTTTGGCCAGTGTCTGCTGGAGATGCTGGAGATTTTCTTGAAGACCCTTTGCCTCCTCCTCTTCCAATTGTTTTCGCTCATCTTGGGCCTTGATCTCCTGTTCCCTCTTGTTCAGGGCTTCTTCTAGAAGCTGCTCTCTCTCTCTGTGATGTCTCTCCTCCTTCTCAGCCAGTGTAAGCTGGAGATGGTGCAGGGTCTCCTGCTCTTCCTCTCGGTGCTGGAGCTGTTGAATGAGAGTCTCATTCTCCCACTCTCGCTCTCTTACAACTTCCTCTAGACAACTTGCTTGGTTCTGGCAGGACTTTAGTGCCACCTGCATTCTTTTTTCTTGAAGTTGATATATGCTAATTTGCTCCGCCTGCTTGAGGAGTTCTACATCCTTCTCCTTCACTATTTGGCTCATTCTGTCTAGATCCTGCTGTAAGCTTCTGACACACTTTTCTTCCAGCTCTTTCTGCCCTAACAGCTCCTTGACATGCCCTTGCAAAGACTCTATCTCCTGGTCTCTGGCTTGTAGAGACGATTTGGTATATTCCAATGTCTTCAAGACAGCCTTAGTCTGTGTCACTGCATCTTCCTCATGCTGCTGAAGCTTATGGATTTCTTCCTCAAGGGCCTCTATTTCCCCCTCTCTCTCCCTCAGAGTCACCTGTGTTTGTTGAAGATTTGCTTGCATGACTCTTGCCTGCTTCTCCTCCTCTGTCTTATGCTCCTCATATTGCTTTTGCAGGGATTCGATTTCTTGCTCTCGCTCCCTTAATATTGCTTTAAGACGGTCAAGAGTTTTCACCTGTTGCTCAACTTCTCTTTCTTGTTTTTGGAGTGTCCAGATCTGCTCTTTCTGAGACTTAATCACTCCATCTCTCTCCTTTAGTGCTTCCTTGGCATATTCTAAATCTCTCTGTAAAACCTTCATCTGCCCTTCTGCTTCTTCCTCATGTTTCTGTATTTGCTGCATTTGGAATTCCAGCTCTCTGTCTTTGTCTTTTAAGGCTGCTTGTGTTTGCTCCAGATGTTCACAAAGAGGCTTTAGCTTCATTTCCATCTCTTCCTTAATATTCTGAATTTGCTTTTGTTGTGACTCAAGCTCTTGATCTCTCTGAGTCCAAGTGAGGGTCATCTGTTTTACTTTCTCCCGCAGGTCCTGTAGCTCTTCCTCCCGCTGATCCTCATACTGCTGGAAAATCCTTATCTGCTCCCGCTGCAATTCGATCTCACTCTCTTTGTCCCTGAGAAGTGTTTTCATGTGTTCTAGGCTTGTGCGCAGAACCTTCACCTGCTTTTTCTCCTCCTCTTTCAATTCTTCAGCTACTTTTCTCTGAGACATAAGCTCACAATCTTTTTCCCTCAAGTTTGCTTTGATCAGATAGAGCTCCTCCAACACAGCTTTCATTTGTGATCTTCCATGTTCTTCCAGAGTCTGGATTTTCTCTTCCTGGAATTTAATTTCCTTTACTTTCTCCTCTAGGTTTAAAGTCAGTCGTTCTAGAGCAGACTTCTGCATTTCCCTCTGATTCTCTAGTTCCTGAATCTGTTCTTGTTGGGATTCCACCTCTCTGTCCTTCTCCTCTAGGTCTTTAGTAAGGTGATCTAAAGCTGTTCTTTGCACTTCTCTCTGCTGCTCCAACTCGCTAATCTGTTCTTGCAGTGTTTCCATTTCTCCATCTCTCTGGCTTAAGGCAAGAGTCAGGTGATCCAGATTTTCCTGCAAAGCCTTCCCCAAGGCAGCCTCCTTCTGCAATGTTTGGATTCCCTCCTGTTGAGTCTCTGCTTCCTCACTTTTCATTTTCAGGGCAGAGAGGGTTGTTTGAAGCTCTTGTTCTAGGGAGCGGCTCATCTTTGCTGCTATGTTTGCCCGAGTCTCAGAGGCAGAGACTGATTCCTGGAGAAGGTCCATCTCCCGTACCAGTTTCTCCTTAGCTGCTTGCAGCATGTCCCGTTCATGCTGAAACAGAAAGAAAATGACTTGAAAATAAATCTAGATGACTCTTCCCATCTCAGAACTGGGCTGTAGCTCTACTGCCTGGATGATGTGACACTCAAGTTCTACAAGTGTGGCTCTTAGTGGAATAACTCTTACAGTTGGGGTGGCTTTTCTCTCCCATCTAATTTTTCTTATTTTTTGGTCACTAGTGAAAACTCGACAATTGCCCTTTCTCCCCTAGGACTTGGCTACACAAGGATATAGCACTGTTTCAGCAGCTGATTTAGTTGAGCTGATGATACCTGTGGTGTAGCTGTACATGCAGACATGGGCAAGCTGTAATCACCATTGATTCAGCCAAAATCATTAATGAAACAGCACTATTTTGGAGTGTAGATCATACCTTTGAGTTACTTCTGGTTGTAGCTCCTGAAGGGTGGGTGAAATTACTCTCTTAGCAGAGATAATTAGGAATGGGGAAAAAATCCCTGAATCATAATCCAAACATACATGAATCTAGCAACTTCATGTTTTTATTCATATGACTATTGTGACATTCTATACCATGGGAGTGTGCCCTGTAAACCCCATATTCCTCATTTATATATAATTGTGATCTTACATATAAAGCATGCCACATGAGGACTCATGGGAAAGGTTATGATCTACTGAAACCCACTGTTCCATCTAAATATGTGTATCATTAATGCATATGAGGTTATGAGAATGTGCTGCATGGTTGTCACTAAAATATGCTGTGAGTTTGGCAAGCGCCCAGATACTAGCTCCCCAAAGACAATGCCAAGGAAAGTAAGCAATGCCCGGTTGGGTGTCAAACAACCCATCAACAGCCATTGTCTAGCAAGGGAGCTACAATTCAATGACTCACTTGCATAAGGCCACACCAGGGGACTTGCTCAACCTTGCCTGGGGTCTCAGAAATGCTCACCAGACATGCCTGGACTTGTGCTCTCCAAGCACCTGAGACTAAGAGCATAAAACAGAACACAGTGGCCCCATACTTGGGCCTTTCTCCTTCCCCCACCTATGCTGCAAGCAACAAGGACATTCTGAAGACTCCAATAGAGGGGACTGGCCTAGGTTTCAAGGGTGAAACCTGTGTACTATGAATTGCAATATCCAGTGAGGGTGAGAAAAACTGCTTCATCTAGATGTTGCCCAGTCTAATAGGGTTGAGAGTTTAGACTGCGTGGTTATATTTTATTTTATTTTGGTAACCACTCTGACTTTTTGCCTATCACTTATAATCACTTAAAATCTATCTTTTGTAGTCAATAAATGTATTTAACTGTTTATCTTTACCAGTGAGTTTGCCTGAAGTGTCTGGTGAATCTGCTCAGGTATGCAAAGGCTAGTGTATATCCACTTGCCTTTGATGAAGTGGTGAATGAATAATACATTTGCACTGCTCAAGACGAGCAGCGCAAGGTGGCATGTTCCTGTTGTACAAGGCTGGGAGCTGGAGGTGATTCAGCTGGTGCCTTTCTCTGTGTGATTCATGAGTGGCTCTGGGAGCATTCATGCAATGTAGCCGGGTGTGGTGCTCCGCATGCGGTTATCCTGAGTGATAACAGCACCTGGAGGGGTTTGCTGCTTGTCACTAGCAAAGCATTGAGAGAGACAGCTCAGGCTGGAGAGTTAAGAGGGCACAGTGGTCCAATGGTCCCAGGCTGCACTCCAGGGATCCCATCACAACTATTACAAAAATTAACCTGAAAAATTGTATTGTAATTGTAATTGTATTGAAAAACTACTGTAAGAATGTCTGGTTAATTCCATTCCCCTCCAGCTATCCTCATTGACCCCTTTCCTCTTCCTCCTGCCTACTGTGCTGTGTTCATCTCCTTGCTAAGATAAACAGTCCCATGCCTTTCAACTTCTCGTCATATGGAAGTTTATCCAGGTCTCTAATCATTCTCATCATGTGTCCTGAATCAAGCACCTCCATTACTGCAACACTCTGAGATGGGATGAACAGAACTGCACACCGTGTTACAGGTGAGGGTATTCCATTAATTTAGAGAATGGCATTACAATTATTTTTAAAATTCTCTTTGCATTTATCAACATGGAATTTCATTTGCCATCATGCTGTTTATCTGTGTAACTTAGTTAGGTCCTTCTGAAGTTAGTCTTCTCCAGCCTTGACTAGTCCTAACACAAAATTATTATCTGAAAATTTTGCTTCCTCAATACATATACACCTTTTCCAGATAACTAATATATTAAACAACACTTGTGCAAGCACAGAGCCCTGGGGCAGCCAGCTGTTAACCTTTTTTCAACTATGAAAGTGAACCAAGCATTCCTTCGCTTTGTTTTCTGTCTTCTAGGCCCCAACTCTGCAAATACTTATGCATGTGCTTAACTTCACTGCTGTGAGTAGTTCCAATGATCTCAGGAAGACGACTCACAGCAGTAAAGCAAAGCATATGTGGAAATCTTTGCAGAGTCAGTACCTTAACCAATTTCTGATCCATAACAATACTTTGCCTCTCATACCATGACTATTCCATTTCCTTTACAACACCTTCTGAGGAACATTGTCAAAGACTTTGAAAGTCCAATAAATTACATCAACCAGTTCTCCTTTACCCATTACTTTAATGACAGAATTCTAATAAAATTAAATAAATAAATTAATGGAGATATCCCATCTCCTAGAACTGGAAGGGACCTTGAAAGGTCATCGAGTCCAGCCCCCTGCCTTCACTAGCAGGACCAAGTACTGATTTTT